AAATGGAAGGGGTGAAGTGTGGAAAGAAGGAAGAAAGAATAATATTACTGAATTTATAACCTGCTCTCCGAGCGCCCTGAGCAGTGCGTTATAGAGTCCGCAGGTCTTAAAATACACACCAGCTCCTGCACTTGACCTCCCAGGGCCCCCAAAGGAGGTGTTGCTCACGGTCCTGCGGCACAAAGGGCCCCATATACCACCAGGTCGGGGAAGTGCCGTGGAGGAGTGTGTGCAAACCTGATCTCGCAGCTCTTCACTGACAGCTGATTCCCCGCCCGGCTCCTCTCCTCGAGCTCCTGCCCTCGCCCCAGCACCCTGGCAGGCCCCCTTCCCAGCCCGCCTCCCACACCCAAGGCACAGAGGGAGGACGGGGAGGAGGGAGGGCCTGGACGTGCGGTCTGGAACGGTCGGTCGGGAGACTTCCACGAGGCGAGCCAGGGAAATCCCCATGATGCCAGACCACTCGGCAGTTTTTCCAGATCACTGCTCCGGAGCCCCAGCCCTGTCCCTCTGCCAGTGCGAGTGTGAGGGCCAGTGACCCCACAGGCACGAGGTGTGCAGGCGCAGAGGGGCCCGCTTCCACGGAGCGCTCAGTAGAGAGCAGGGCCCAGAGAAGAGCAGGCCGACAGGAGGCCGCTGGGCGGCCAGTGTAGGTCTGGGGACCGATGCTCCGGAAGGCCTGGCACGGCACGGCTCACACGCAGGGACACTGCTCTGTGGCTTCCTTTTCCTCCTTTCTGACGACTCTCTGCACTCTACTCCTCAAGAGGAAATGCGAAGCTGACTACCGTCGACAGCGACAGCCACCCGGGAGCACAGCAAGGCCGCCTGCTGCCTCCTGCAGCTCCCGCGGCAACTCTGAGCTGCACGTGGGCACCACGCCGCTGTGCTCCCGGGGAAACTGAGGCTGAGAACGCGCCGTCACCCAGAGAGCTTCGATTCCAGGCCTGCCAGACGCCTGGGCCAAAGCTCTTTGCCAAAATTACGTGAGGCTGGCCAAGCATTGCCTTCTTCTTGAGGACCCTCTGAATTCCAAAAAACGACTTGGCCTCCCTAACTGCGGGGTGGAAGTGCCCTCTGAAGGCCGGGGGGTTATCTGTGGGCATCTTCAAGTAGCGAGGGGCCAGAGGAAGCAAACTGCGAACACGCTGATTATAGGGACGTGACAAAAGGGTGAGGGCCACCGGCCCAGGGTCTGGACTGAGGATTTGCCAGCCCGATGCCATAAATTCACCGCCTGGCCACATCACCGTCTAAACGGAGTCTAAGCAGTAAGTAACCCGGTCTTTCCCACGAGTGCCCAAGTCCGGCAATGACACGGAGCATGTTGAAGCATGGCTGCCTGTGCACACGTGCCACCCTGACGCCACATCCCCTGAGCACATCTGGGCTCTCGCCTGTCCCTCTCCCCACCCCACACGGGAACCTAACACTTGTTCAGATAACAGAGGATCTGTTCTCCCGCCACTCAACTTGAACAATGAAGAACATGAGGGTTTGTAGAGATAAGGCCCGAGAGAACCCAAGACGCTGGCGGCTCCTGGTTTGGTGAGAGATGGCTCTCGGATTAAGACAGCAGGAGACCGTTGACAAGGTCCCTCTGCTGGGGCCAGGCGGCTGGCCCCGAGACACACAGAGCCTGCTTCCTGGAGCGCTGAGTTCTGCTTCTTAGGAGCAAAGCGTCCATTTCTCCTTCGCACCTCTGGGTGTAAAAGAGGAAACTTCGACCTCAGATAATGCTTCGGCCGGACAGACTGCCAAGCTGAGCTCTGACTGACTCTCTCGAGTCCCGGCCTCCAAAGTTTTCTCAGGTCTCGGGTACGGGGCCGAGCACCCTGCCACTGCCACTTCCCTGGGCGCCACAGTCAGGTGGGGCAGGGCTAGCCCGGGGTACCGCTTCCCCAAGACATGTGGCCGAGGTGGGGTGCCCGCACGAACGCCCCGCTCCCTTCCCCAGGCGTGGCTGGCCCTCTTCGCTGCACTTCAGGGCAGGCTCCAGGTACCCTTTTGCGTGTTTCAGGAGAATGACCCAGCAAGAGGAGAGCCATGCCAAACAGAAGACAGCCGAGGCTGTCCCGGGCCCCAGGAGAGACCAGCTGTAGGGCAGAGCTATGCTCTGCTTCCTCCCGCAGCAGCGAGGCCTAAGTGCAGCTTCCCCACAACTGCCACTCGGCTCCCTGGCCCAGGGCCCCAGTCCAGCCCCCCGCGCTCAAACAGGCAAACTGAAGCTCTGTGCCACACACCGAAGAGCGAGATTGCACGCCACCGAGCAAGCAGGTTGTCCTCGGACCACGAGCAGCTCTGGCAGATGCCCGGGTCAGGCCGACCACGAATGAGAATAACTAGCGGTACTAACATGCCACTGCACGGCCGCCACCCGCACAGCCTCAGGGCCACTGCACGGCCGCCACCCGCACAGCCTCAGGGCTGCTACATGGCCACTGCACGGCCGCCACCCGCACAGCCTCCACAGAACGTAGCTCGCCCCCTGCAGCAATGCCGTAGCTCCGAAGTGTAAACGGGGCCAGGCCGATTTTGTGAGCCGCAGCGTCTGCACTGTGATTACACACAGGCCCGCTGCCACCTCCTGCCTCCAATGGCAACATGTCACGTCTGTGTTAAAGCACACGTCGAGGTTAGCTTTTTTCCCTAGGACATGTTATGAAACAAGATATGAGCTTAGGCACAGCCATGGGGACCTTTCTGCCAAAAGGCTGGACTGACACGAACTAAACGCGACTGTTTTCTCTATCCAAGTTCAGACCTCGTCCTCCTCACACACACAGAACACCAGCTTGGGCTAACGCCCCCTGCAGGCCACCTGGAATCACTTCCATAGGACGCGGTTAGCAAATGTGAATAACCAACTCCTAAAGCCTCAAAGAAAAACAAATAAATAATTCACTGAAAGCCAAAAGGTAAAATAATTCACACGGCCTGCTTTTTCCTTGCTTTCTCACATCTTTACACAAAGAGCCTTTCTCAGGGTTATGAAAATGTTCTCTAGAGGCAGACGAGAGCTTTAGCTCTGCTGTTACTAAAATGGAACCTTCACACACGACCTGCCCGGCAACTTCAGCTTCTTCATCTGTAAACAGAGGTAAAAGCCTTCGAGGGATGTTGTGAGGATGAAATGGAATAAGGCAGGTTTGGGTAAGTGTTCGGCACATACAGCCTGTCTCGCCAACATCTGCCATCGCTAACATTACGGAGTTACATGTGCCACCTGCTAGCCTGAGGACACACGTGGCCGGCGGCCTGGGGTGCCCTGCGTCCAGCACGGCAGTGGGGCACCCCAAGGAGAGGAATGGTCCTCCAGCTCACCTTACTGACTTTACCAAGTCATCACAGAGGTTTGGGAGGCACCCGGCTGGGCAGGCTGGGCCTCACCATCCTGACCCCTGCTGTGCCCAAGATAACATATCACTGTGCCTTTGGGGAACCAAAGAGCTCTCCGGCCCTTTTCCAGTCATGTGAGCCAGACTGCCATTGTCCCGAGAAGGGTTTCTGAGGGCGCCCTCCCCAGGCAGAGAGCCCCATGAGGCGGACACACTGCAGACAGGGATGACCCTGCTGCCTTGCTGGCCTTCACTGACACTCTTCTGGAATAAAGAGCATTCCTACCTGAACTCCAGCCAATGCGTCTTCGCTGTTCAGATTTCCTGTTTACCTTCCAAACCGCGGGACCGAACAGCAATCTACCTTATCGCTCAGTCTCCACTGGCAGAGAGAGACACTGTTTTGCGCCGGGGAAGGAGCATGAACAGGGGATGCCATGTGGAAAATATCTCATAACGGTATTTGGAAACAGTCTGCAAAACTTCGTGTATATTTAAGCTTTGTAAATAGTAAGATCATCAAAAGAAAACACAGTATTTTCACATGCAGAGCCTTAACACAGAGCATTTAAATACACTGGTCAGTGCAATGTCCTCTGAAATCTTAGGAGATGAAGACAGTATAACTCAGTCACATTACGTGGGTAAGAGAGACGGAAAAGTAAGATTAGACACACACACACTGCTTCTACAAATCTGCAACTGAGTCAAAATTTAAACTCAACGCTACTTTTCAACAAGAATGTTAGTAAAAAGAACATTAATTAACTTAGCATAAACTCACAAACACAACAGCTAAAGAGTCCCTCTTAGCGTGTTTTTAATACGCAGCAAGTATTTACCACCTTTCCTCGATTTTCTCACTCTTCAAACCCTGATCACCACTGGGCACAGGGGACCTTACCCATTGTCACTTTGCAGCACTGGCCTGGTCTCTTACTATGGAAAAGTGGGGGCAGCTTAAACCCAGAGAGCTCTGCTCTGGCCAGCAGGCCCCCCTGACGCGGACTGGGCAGCGGGTAGCCCTCTGGCTTTGGGGCTTTGGATCTGACAGCCTGGACGCATTTCCGACAGGATTTTGTGATATGCAGATTTTAATCAAAGTTTGCCCAAAGCAATGGGCATGTAAAATACTTTCAAGTACAAAGGCTGTTCTTCATGGGTCCATATTTCACCTCAAACTTTTCATATAGCTTAAGCTCCCCAAAGTGGTGCCGTATCAGACATATCATTGGCTACTGAGCCAAGTAACCAGGGACAGGCTTTTGTCGACTGGCCACTGCCAGTGCTAACTAAGCAGGGGTGGCCGTGTCACCTCTACTCTGCTCCATGTCAGAGACCAAGAGTGTCCCTCCGAGCTTGGGCTGTCTGTAACCCGAGGAAACCTTCCGTCTGTCCTCTGTGGTGGTCCCTGACCTTCAGGCCCAGCTGCTATCTTGTCACAGAAGACAAGGCGAAAGTCGGGTCCACCAGTGACCTGGTGGCCATAGCCACAGTCCTGACACGTCAGAGTCACCTTAAGTCTGCTTCTACGAGGAGGATGCCAAGGGCAAGACCTGACAGGGGCGGAGTGTGCACGCGGCACAGACTGGGCCATGAGCCGCCCTGCCGCCCCAGCGCTCGCCGCCCTGCGGCCACAGCACTCGCCACCCGGCCACTTACCACGCAGACACACATTATGCACGGGTTGTCCGTGATAAACGGGATCTGGAGAACTTCGCCTTCATTTTCACATTTTGCAACAGAGCCTAAAATGAAGAGAATTTTTAGAAATTTAAACTTGGTAGTATTGTTACAATTTTTTAATTTTTACACTAGCCTTCTCTGGGACATTTACCTAAATTTCAGAAAGGCTTCATAAGTTTTAAACTATCAAATTTATCAAAAACAAATTACTTCTCCCAAAATTCATACGGAATAGTTTTATTTAAACAGTTTCTTTTTCCCAAAAGAAGACTGTGACATACACATAGGTAGATTTGTCGGTTCTTGGACGGCTTAAGCACAATTCCAAATATTTCGCTGGACTGTTAAGAACATGCCTCTTTTATAAAGGCATTTCAACTAAACACCCCATATGCAAAACCAAATTCATCGGTCATTGATTTTAAAGTTCAACAAAATTTAGAACCGGTCAGTGAACGAGGCTCACAGGGATCACACTGCCCTGGGTGGAGGTCACCTCCGAGACACTGCCGCCTTCTCTCTTCTCTTGGAAACGGCCTATTTTCTGCACCAGGTGTCGGTAAAGCGTGTCCTTCAGAACAGGGCTTGGTCCTCACCGCTGCAGCATAACTTATCACAGCCTGCTGCAAGTGCCCTTTTAATAAATGCGTTCATAGTTTCTTCCAATTGCAGGTCTAGAAAGGGAGCTTTGAAACGCACCCCTAGCGGGCACAGAAGCCCTGTGGGGTCCCTGCAGGGTGGGCAGGAAGGGGCTGCAGCCAGCGCTCAGCTTGCCCTGGGCTGGCGGTGTGAAGGAGCGCTGCAGACATCAATGTGAATTAGGGAATTCTCCACTCCAGAGGTCTGCACCACCGCTCTCAAGGCGGCAGCCTCTGCCTCCTCACCTCCTCGCCGCCTTCCCACCCTTAATCCTGCTCTGCTCTGCTCTGCCCCAGCGCCCAGCGAGGGCCAGCGCCCAGGTGCTGCCCACACTGCCCGGCACCCATGCCGCCCGCGCTCCCGCCGGCCGCGCCCCAGGGCCCTCCCGCCCCTCCCCTACCTGTCAAGAAGGAGGAAGCCAGAGCCCTGGGGACGCCGGCGCAGCCAAGCAGCAGCAGGAC